CAGGAAGTAGTCAAATATATATTTAGAAAAAAAAAAAATATGTATCATGGTGTCACAGGAAAACAATAAATTCAAGTGTAATATCAAAACTATCAATCAAAGTGCTAAAACAGGGGTGCTCAACCCGCGGCCCACAGAGCCCTGTGACCCCTCACACCAGTGAAGCGCATTCCCGGGTTGGCCATCCATTGACTGCGATCTGGGCAAGCTGACCCTTCCACTGACACCAATGCTGGGGCACCATTCTGACCTCAACATTGTCACTAACATCTGATGCTGAGGCATTTCTTTCTTCCTACTGACCGCAGCCCGGCCTTCAAGCAGTCTGATGGACAGGGAAGTGGCCCTTGGTTGAAATTTGGGACCCCTGGTCTAAAGAGATGACTTCACCGACACAGACAGCCCTGAACACACAGGGGGCAGCACTGTGCCATATATTAGGATTAATGATGGGTGATTGCTGACACCTTGGATTCAGGGTGACAGGGACAGACTGACCATTAGAGCACTCGGGCACTGCCCGAGGGCCTGGGGTCAGTAGGGGGCCCATGAAATGCCCCTGGTACCTTTTATAGGCTTTTTGGGTGTGCTTTGAGTTTGGGCAAGGACACAGGGGCCCCATGATCCCCTATTGCCCTGGGGCCCCATGAGTAGTGCAGGACCCCTTTAGGGTGTGTACCAAAGTCACATTCTAATAGGAAAGAATGCTGCATGCGTTTTTCTGTTCTTTTGTGCGACTTTGATGCGACCGAACACTCAGCATTTTCATAATTGGTCAGTTGACAGTTCTGTTCATGTTAGTGCGATTGATTTAATGTCATTTCGATGCAACTTTGTAGTCAGCGGACTCAAGTAGAATAGTGCCCCATCATTGGTGTCAGTGGAGGAATATGTGTGCCCCATAACAGGAAAATAAGACGGTTCTGTATCATGTAGTGGAGGAATATGCGCCCCATCATTGCTTGTCAGCTGGGAGGAATAGTGCCCCATCAATTGTGTCAGTGGAGGAAAGTGCCCCATCGTTGGTATCAGTGGGAGGAATAGTGCCCCATCATTGGTGTCAGTGGGAGGAATAGTGCCCCATCATTGGTGTCAGTGGGAGGAATAGTGCCCCATCATTGGTGTCAGTGGGAGGAATAGTGCCCCATCATTGGTATCAGTGGGAGGAATAGTGCCCCATCATTGGTGTCAGTGGGAGGAATAGTGCCCCATCATTGGTATCAGTGGGAGGAATAGTGCCCCATCGTTGGTGTCAGTGGGAGGAATAGTGCCCCATCATTGGTGTCAGTGGGAGGAATAGTGCCCCATCATTGGTGTCAGTGGGAGGAATAGTGCCCCATCGTTGGTATCAGTGGAAAGGAATAGTGCCCCATCATTGGTGTCAGTGGGGGGAATAGTGCCCCATCATTGGTGTCAGTGGGAGGAATAGTGCCCCATGATCCCATTGGTGTCAGTGGGAGGAATAGTGCCCCATCATTGGTATCAGTGGGAGGAATAGTGCCCCATCATTGGTGTCAGTGGGAGGAATAGTGTCCCATCATTGGTGTCAGTGGGAGGAATAGTGCCCCATCATTGGTATCAGTGGGAGGAACAGTGCCCCATCATTGGTATCAGTGGGAGGAATAGTGCCCCATCACTGTTGTGTCCATGGGAGGAATAGTGCCCCATCATTGGTGTCAGTGGGAGGAATAGTGCCCCATCATTGGTGTCAGTGGAAGGAATAGTGCCCCCATCATTGGTGTCAGTGGAAGGAACATTGCCCCATCATTGGTGTCAATGGGAGGAATAGTGCCCCATCATTGGTGTCAGTGGGAGGAATAGTGCCCCATCCATTGGTGTCAATGGGAGGAATAGTGCCCCATCATTGGTGTCAGTGGGAGGAATAGTGCCCCATCCTTGGTGTCAGAGGAAGGAACAGTGCCCCATCCTTGGTATTAGTTGGAGGAATAGTACCTAATTGTTTATATCAGTGGGAGGAATTGTGCCCCATCATTGGTGTCAGTGGAAGGAAAAAGTGCCCCCAAGGTGTGCCTGTAGAAGGAAATGGCGCCTCTTTGTTGGTATCAGTGGGAGGAATCGTTCCCAGAGGGCCGGATAGAGGCAGGCAAAGAGCCACATTCAGCCCATGGGCCGCAGTTTGGATCCCACTGCTCTAGGGTGTGTTTTCAGCAAATATATCCTGTTTTGGACATTTTAGGTCATCTTCAGGAGCTCCGGCAGTGAGAAGGGTTAAACAGAGTGACCTGATTAGTGTCATGGCGGATTGCCTAATACCATTGTTCAATTTTTATTGTGTGAAGAAATCCGGCCGACTCCTCAGGGTATGGCATAACGAAGCCTGTGCAGCACACAGTGTTCACATGGTATTGGCACACACACACACACACGCGTGGAAATTCAAGTTCATCTCTATGGGAGGTTGGGGGGCAGATCTGTATGTCATCATATGACTGGTGCGGCCATGATTAGGATACTAACTGGTGATTTTATATAAACAAAAAAAAAAGTCTTAGATAATTTTTTTTTCACCTTTTTTTCCCATATACGTTCATCAGAGTAGTTCAGTATCACCATAATAACACTATACTACTCGGGGGGGGGGGGGGTGATAAAAAAAAAAAAAAATCACCCCCCAGAGTAGTATAGTGCAGGGGCAGACTGACCATTTGGGAACTCAGGCATTGCCCGAGATCAGTAAGGGGCCCCATGAGATGCACCTGGTACCTTTCATAGGCTTTTTTGAGTGTGTTTTGAGTGTGGGCGAGGACCCAGGGGGCCCATAATCCCCTATTGCCCGGGGGCCCCATGAGTTGGCAGTCCACCACGGTACAGTGTTATTATGGTGACACTGAACTACTGATGAACATGTGGAAAAAAAAAAATGAAAAAATTATTTAAGACATTTTTTTTTAGTGTGGTTTTTTTTCCTACCATATTGATTGCTGTTACAATGAAAATCACTGTAACAGCAATGTTTTGAACTGCCAAAAATGGGTTACATTCATAACAGCTGTGATTTTATTACTGTGATTGGCCCACAGCTATCACATGGTACAGGGCGCTGCAATTTGCCTACTCACCATGTGATCTGTGCCAATCACAGCTCATTATAGGAACCACAGCTATAATTTTTAATTACTATACAGGATTTATATAGCACCCATTTATGCAACACTTTGCAATATAAAAAAGGGGGACAGTACAATTAAAATACAGAAGGAATAGGAGTGCCCTGCTTGTGAAGCCTACCACCCAGACCAGGGGTGTCAAACTGGCAACCCTGCAGCTGTTGCAAAACTACGAGTCCCATCATGCCTCTGCCTTTGGGATTCATGCTTGTAACTGTCAGAGGTATGATGGGACTTGTAGTTTATATAGATATAGAGCAGGGGTGTCAAATTAGCGGCCCTCCAGCTGTTGTGAAACTACAAGTCCCACGAGGCATTGCAAGATTGAAAGTTACAAGCATGACTCCCAAAGCCAGGAGCATGGTGGGACTTGTAGTTTAACAGCTGGAGGGCTGCCAGTTAAACATCCCTGCTCTATATTTTTATATAAACTACAAGTCCCATCATGCCTCTGGGAATCATGCTTGTAACGGTCAGAGGCATGATGGGACTTGTAGTTTATATAGAGAAGTGGGATGTCAAACTGGTGGCCCTCCAGCTGTTGTGAAACTACAAATCCCATCATGCCCCTGCCTTTGGGAGTCATGCTTATAACTGTCAGAGGCATGATGGGACTTGTTTATATAGATCTAGAGCAGGGGGTCAAACTGGCTGCCCTCCAGCTGTTGTGAAACTACAAATCCCATCATGCCCTTGGCTTCGGGAGTCATGCTTGCAACATTCAATGCCTCATGGGACTTGTATTTTGGCAACAGCTGGAGGGCAGCCAGTTTGACACCCATTGCCTAAAAAAAAAAAAAAAAAAAAACCCACACATGGAAATTCAAGGTAATCACGATGAGAGGTTGTGGGGCAGATCCAGGGGCGGACTGACAACTCATGGGGCCCCTGGGCAATAGGGGATCATGGGGCCCCTGTGTCCTTGCCCAAACTCAAAAAAAAAAAAAAAAAAAAAAAAAAGAGAGGAACCAGGGGCATCTCATGGGGCCCCCTACTGACCCCAGGCAGTGCTGAGTTGCCAAAAGGTCAGTCGGCCCCTGATTCGTAAGGATCATGGCAGTGGCCGGTTATCCTGAGGACCCAGCGGTCATGGGAGCAGTGCGCACATGTAAAGTTCGCATGTACTAAGCAACGGTCATATATGTACTTTAGCCTGTAGCAGCCACCCGCACAGTGCATACAGCAACCGGTTATGACACCAGCAGTGAAATTATGCAAAAAATAAAAAAACACAACTACCAATTGTGTGACCAACATAAACCAGGACATTAAAAGTTATGCAATTTATATGTTACATTTTAATTAACATATTATACTTTAATTAGAAAAAAAAAAAAAAAAGTTTTTTATCATGCTTTGCTGGGCCTCTGTGTCCCCCCCCCCTCCTCTGTGTCCCCCCCCTCCCATACTTTTTTTTTTAAATGACAAACACTATAAGTACCAGAGTTTTCATATTGGCATCCTATAGTCTGCATAAGACTTGTATTTTATGTTGTTTTTTTTGTTTTTTTTTCAACAGGGGTGGGGGCAGCAATCTCCAGGAAGGACACAGCGGGTCTCACCACTGTCACCCAGGGCCACAGATCTGGGCTCACAGAAACAGCCACTGAAAATTGCAGGATGCAGATCCTCTTCTACCAGCAGTAAACTTATTTTGCAAAAAATACAACTATCAAGTGTATGACCAACATAAAACATGACGCGAGACATATTTATTCATAAGTTTTATTATGCAATTTTTATGGAGCTGTAATTTTTTTACACTTTACATTTTAATTAACATACATATACAATATACTTTGTAATGAATAAATAAACTTCTATTATTTAATTACACATACTGTACACACAACTAGTATAGGTAGATTTTTTTTATATTGTCATCCTATAATCTTCTGCATAAGGTTTGCCTTTTATGGTTTTTTTTAGTTTGGGGCAATCCTTGGGTAGGACGCAGCGGGATTTGCCTCCGTCATCCAGGGCCACATATCCGGACTTACAGAAACAGCCGACGACACATACATCGATGCACATCCGTTCTTCTCTCCAATTGCTGCATGTCGGGGGACAGGCGCTCCCACAGTCGGTGTAGGTTCTGTTCCCTGTGCAGTCTCCGCACTCCTCTGGTTTGACGCAGCAGCCTCCGACTTCATTGGCCAGGAAGCCCTTCTTGCAGAAACATCCCTTCACACACATCTCAATACATGGAGGGGGGACAGGCTGGCTGCAGCTTGCTGGGCAGGCCGACCCACAGGATTTGAATTCTTTATTTTTTGGGCATCGAATGTAAGAGACTGAAAATGTAAAAAAATAAATTCATAAATATGAATGACAATTGCAAGAGAAAGATGCATATAGGAGAACATTCCTGTATCTTAGAAGAAAAAAAAAAAAAAAAAAAAAAAAGCCAAAAAAACAAACAGCATTTGCTTTGACTCCCTAGGCTGCACTACCCAGGAAATTTCTCTAGGTGGCAGTAACCTGGTTAAGGATGAACCAATCAGAGAGATTGTTTTTTTAGCCATAAAGAGTATGACGAGCTAACGCAGTTTATTTATAAAAAATTCAGAGCTATTAATCCTCCATGTACAGTTGATCTGTGCAAATTGGAGGCAAAAAGCAAATGTTTAGACTATTTATTCTCTAGGTCGAATGTTATCCAGTCATAAAGAGCAAAACAGGACAAACGACTTAGGGCCACTAGATGGAGCTGAGCAAAGCAGGAAAATACCACATTACAGCCACTAGATGGAGCTGAGCAAATCAGGAAGATACCGCAATCCGGCCACTAGATGGAGCTGAGCGAATCAGGAAGATACCGCATTACAGCCACTAGATGGAGCTGAGCAAATCAGGAAAATACTGCATTACGGCCACTAGATGGAGCTGAGCGAATCAGGAAAATACTGCATTATGGCTACTGCAGGGGTGTCAAACTGGCGGCCCTCCAGCTGTTGCGAAACTACAAGTCCCATCTTGCCTCTACCATTTGGAAGTCATGCTTGTAACTGTCAATATTGCAATGCCTCATGGGACTTGTAGTTTGGCAACAGCTGGAGGGCCACCATTTTGACACTTGTAGGCTACTGGATGGAGCTGAGCAAATCAGGAAAATACTGCATTATGGCCACTAGATGGAGCTTTCATAGGAAATATAGATTTTTTTTATGATTGGCAGCTCCATCTAGTGGCCATAATGCAATATTTTCCTAATTCACTCTGTTCTGTATGAATGAATGAATATTAAAGCAGCCTGGAGCACCTAGCTTTCACAAGATGAATGGATTTCAAATTTTGGTAAAAGCCGGCAAATTGATGAATGTTGGTGGCTGAAGTTCTACCTCAACATTTACAGGTCTGCCCATGTGCTGAGTGAGCTCTTGTGGCCCTGGTGGGTATTTCATTAAAGGTACACCCAGCAGACGACAAGGGCCCCTGTACAAGACCAGTTTTTGGCCCCCCATTCAAGTGCTGTGCAAGTAAGAACACTCATCCCCTGTGTAACGATTGGCATTTAGACTCCACCCACCCAACCCATATCCAGTAAAAATGGGCCCCCAAAAGTCAGAGGGACCCTGTACAGCTGCACAGTCTGCCCACCCCTGGTGACACCATCCTCCCCTTCTATAGAGGGATTTCTTTTTTTTTTTTTTCTTATACATACCTGGCCCAGCATATATTAGTATGAAGGAGACACCTGGAAAATAAAACAGGGATTGATAAATATTTTAATTTTTAAACTGTAAAATTAAAATAAAAAAAGCCTTCAAAACAAAAAAAAAAAAAAACAAAAAACTTTAAATTTAAAGATGGATATTCTCAATAAGGAGTGAAGGAAGATCAAAGCCCCAGTAAGGTTCAATTTTTGTTCCTTTGGGGAGATTTCCTTCACTTCCTATAAAGGAGACAACAGGAATTGTGAGTAAATCTCTCCAAAATAAGGAAAATCTCCAAGTCAGTTGTTGTCCAATGATAGATGTCCCCTCTATTCCTGTTCTGGTGACAGCTGTAGAGGTTTGGATTTCCCACCAATGTGAAACAGAGAGGGGGAGGGGGCCTATTATTGCTCCTAGTAAGGCCAAGGCTGGGGGAGAGGGGTCCTTTTACACCCACTGACCCCAATCCTGGGGGGTTATTATGACTACTGACCCCAATACTGGAGGGGGGTTTATTACACCCACTGACCCTAGTACTGGGGGGGGGTGGTTATAACACCCACCAAACCTACTGCTGTGGGGGGGATTATTATACCTACTGATCCCAATGCTGCTTGGGGGGGAGGGTATGACACCCACTGACCACATTGCTGGTAGGATTATATATCTACTGACCCAAATGCTAGGGGGAAGTACTATATCCTTAATGCTGGGGGGGGGGGGGGGGGGGGGGGTTATTACATCCACTGAAACCAATTTTCAGTGGATGTAATAAAGGAGTAGGAGAAGTAGGAGTATAAATGACCAAGGAAAAGTGGTCATTTATACTCCTACTTCCACTCCAAGTGCCCCCCAGTCCAGCCCCCCCACAACAATTGTGGGACACTGTTTAAGCTTGGGGCCCCTGGTCTAAAGACTACCCCTTCATAGATAACCCTGATCACACCCAGGAGGAGCGTTGTGCCATACAGAATGGATAACCATGGAGGATGGGCGCCATCTTGGATCTCAGGGGGAGGATATACTGGGCGCTCTCAGCCTGACTCCAGTATAAATCAGTGATATAATAAAATGATTTCTACTCACCAATCAGAACCATCAGGAATCCAGAGGACGGCCCCATGACTATCAGTTTGCTGACACAAAGTGGAAGGATGAGCCCTACAGATGACACAGGAAGATATATACATTTCTATTACAACACAATTGGAATCGCACCATTCTAACCAACTGTCACTGCGGAGCTCTGCGTCAAAACACAAGCTCCCTCACTGGGGTCATTTGATAGACCCCCCCCCCCCCCCCCCCCGAACTATTCATCCAGTGAACCTGCATCTAAATTGGTTCAGGCAGAAACAAGTTCTTTTATTAGTAGCAGTCGTAAAATACCACTGGATGACCACTAGTTGGAGCTGAGGAGCATAGGAAATACACAAGAGATACAATGTAGCAATTCTAGCCACTTGAAGACCACAATACATAGATATATGTATGAAAGTGGTTCACCGTGGTTATGGCTGAAGAAATCAGGTGTCAGGTTCTAGATGGGGAAACTTGTCACCCTATAAAGGTGCCGGAACAAGGTAGGATCAGTAGGGATTATGTTAATAAAAATCTGCAGATTTAAATATATTTATCCTGGGTTCACACCGCATTCCTGTGCCAATCACATGTGATCTGTGTGCGGTGCAATCGGAGCCGTACATTTTGTATGGCTAATCGCACCAAAAACATGCAGGACCCTTTTTTGGGTCCGCACTAGAATCGGATCACATGGGTAGTCACACCTACATGCGGTATATTGCATGTGATTTGCGCAGAAACCACGCTGCATTCCTCTGTGAATCACATGCGATTTGTGTGCGGTGCGATTAGAGCCGTACAAAATGTATGGCTCCAATCACACAAAACTTTATGGTCCGCACTGGAATCTGATCGGGTATTCACACCTATGCGATCCAATTCTGCACATCGCACTGCGTTTTGCAGATTGCTTTTGGGGTGTTAACAACACATCCGCAGCGATTCGCATGACTTCTGAAGCGGTGCGGAATTCACACTGAAAACCAGGTACTCGTTTTCGTTTTCCCCCGCCCCCCCCCCCCCACAGTGAAGCTAAACAAGCGAAGCTTCCGCATTTGGGCAGAACTGATTTAAATTGGCTTTTGCAACGACAGTAACGCCACGTACACACAAGAAAAATTGAACGAAAATTTTCGTATGAGAACCAATCGTCCGATAATTGGAGCCTTAATATACAGCCTGCGAGAGCCGATCGCAGCAATTTCCAAAGGGACAAGCGTGAAAATTTCTCATGATAGCGGATTGTACAATTCATTTAATCAGTACAGTAGGCATCCAAAAATACATGACATCACTTGAAATTCTTTAGAAATCATTTCATTGTGGCATGAAACTAGCAGGGGGGGGGGGGGGGGGGGGGGGGGCAGAAAAAAAAAAAAACCAACCCATGATATTCTCATTGTGTGTACTGGGCTTAAGCCCAGGTTCACACCTATGCAACCATTTTTGCAGTTTTTTTGTTGCTAGGCAGATTTAAAATGCAAAACATATCAAAACAGCACTACATGCTTTTCTACAGCATTTCCATTGAAGTCTATAGAACCAAAACAATTTTTTTTTTTTTATACAAGTCCCTGACCCCTTCCAAAAAATACACTGGGTGTGAACTTGTCCCATAGGAAATGATAGTAAATGAACTGTACTGCATTTCTGCAAAATGGTTTGAATCTGGGTGGGTGTAACATGTTACAAATTAATAAATACAAATGATTGTGATAATCCACACACAGTACACGGCAAACAGTACAGTCCATTGAACATGATTTCCTATGGGACACATTCACATGTCCACATTTTCACCCAGTGCATTTTTTTTTTTTTGGAAAGGGTCAAAGACTTTATTATACAAAGTTAACTTTTTTGGTTCTAGAGACATCAATGGGAATGCTGAAGAAAAAGCATGTGTTGCAGTTTTGATGCCTTTTTTTTTTTTTGCTAGGCAGATTTTAAAGGGGGGGGGGGGGGAAATAATAATATATATAAATAAAATAATATTGCCATTAAATATATTCAGGATATTCAGACAAGGCCCTTCATGGCAGGATCACCAGGATTGTTATAATAAAATCAGCCCATTTCAATATACAGAAGGCAGTTTTTGCCATTCCAGGACAATAATGAACTCATTAAAGATCAACAAACACTCCTATTGTGATACAAAGAAAGCTGCAAAATGACATTTCAATAACTCTCAGAAATAATAAGTCAATGCGTGAAATCTCTAGTCAGGGATTAGCCCAATAGCCGACTATCCAGCAGGGCTACTGACCTATGTGGTGTAGAAGTAGTCAGCAGGTCCAGGATCAGGGATGGCTGGGTTCAGGATTATATAGGATGTGGGGTGGGGTGGGGGGTGTGACCATCCAGTAGACGGGTGTGGTGCACTAATTGCTTCCTAGTTCATGTTTTTTCGGGATTTCCATTGTGATAACTCATACCTTTGTCATCAGAATTCTA